TGAACTTCAGCCTTGTAAGAGGAATGTTGGCTTGACAATTCTTGGCAAGTTCTCAGTTTCCTTCTTCCATTGTACACTGGGCCAGCCACTCTGAAAGCTCCAGGTTATTACAGGTAGTCCTTGACTTATGACCACAGTTGAGCCCCAAATTTATGTTGCTAAGCAGGACAGTTGTTAAGTGAGTTTATCCCACTTTATAAACTTACTTGCCACAGTTATTAAGTGAACCACTGCAGTTATTAAACTAGTAAAACAATAGTCAAGTCAATCTTATTTCCCTATTGACTTTGCTTGTCAAAAAGTTGCAAAAGGTGATCACATGACCCTGGGACACTGCATCCATCATATGAGTCAGTTGCTAAGCATCTGAATTTTAATCACATGACCATGGAGATGCTGCAATGGTCATGTGAAAAATGGTCATAAGTCCCTTTTTTCAGTGCTGTTGTAATTTTAAAATGGTCACTAAAGAAACTGTTACAGGTTGAGAACTACCTGTATAGTTTTTAATATTTCTTTTATGACCACGTAGGGATTTCCATGTTGCCACCCTTGCAGCAACTTGAGCAGTGGTTTTGTTCTCCTTGGTAGAATTTCTGAACAGGAAATTGTGAAGATTTGCAGATTGTTATCAAGTGGTTTGAAGGGAGTGGCATGTGAAAGTGCCCTTAGAAGCAGGAATGAAATCCAGCAGGTTCTAACAGATTCTGGAGAACCGGTAGCAGAAATTTTGAGTAATGTGGTGAACCAGCAAATACCACCTCTGGCTGGCCCTAAAGTGGGGAGGGAATAGAGATTTCGCAATATCCTTCCGTGCCACGCCCACCAAGCCATGCCCACAGAACCAGTAGTAAAAAATTTTGAATTTCACCACTGATTCAACAGGATGTATTCCCAGGGCAGAATCCATACAAGCAAAGATTCCAAATAAGGAAAGGCTACTTGAAGTCAGATGCTGATCTCCGGAATTACACCTTCTGTATATGTTGAATGGAGAAGCCAGTAAGGCATCATATATGTACGAACATAAAAATACTTCTGACTGAGAATCCTGAAAAGACCCATTTCCAGTTCATTCCAAATCATTTCGTTCAACAGGGGAATGGAATATAGAGTAGGTAGAGCAGAGCTGCACATCATCTCTTTTCCTTTATATTGTCATTCCTAAATATGGCTTCAGTTCCACACTGTTCTCCACTGTTTAAGTCAGGCTACATCTACAGGTAGCCCTTGACTCACGATCATAATTGAGCCCCAAATTTCTCTTGTTAAATGAAACATTTGTCAAGTGAGTTTTGCCCCATTTTATGATCTTTCTTGCCACAGTTGTTAAGTGAATCACTGAAGTTGATTAGGTAGTAACCTGGTTGTTAAGTGAACCTGGCTTCCCCACTGACTTTGTCAGAAGGTCGCAAAACCTGATCACATGATCTTGGGACACTGCAACGGTCATAAGTATGAACCAGTTGCTCAGCATCTGAATTTTGATCAGATGATCATGGGAATGCTTCAAAGCTCGTTAATGAAAAATGGTCATAAGTCATGTTTTTCAGTGCCATTGTAACTTCAAGCAGTCAAAACGAACTGTTGAAAGTAGAGGACTACCTGTATATCTAGTTAAAGGCATTAGATTTTAAAGCAGATTCTGACAAACTGGAATGTTCTGAAATAACAGGATGGTGAGGGATCTGGAAGCTTATAGAAGAAAAATGGAAAAGAGATGGCATGCTTGCTTGTTTTTTATCCTACTTTTATTATTTTTATAAATAACTATTTTCTACATAACAACAACCATGTGAGGTGGATTGGGCTCAGAGTGAGTGACTGGGCCAAAGCCAGTTAGCTTTTATGTCTAAAGCTGGACTAGAACTCACAGTCTCCTGGTTTCTATCCTTATGACTTTTATTGTATTAGATTTATATTGCACCTTTTCTAAGAATCCAAGATACATATGCTGCCATCTCATTTTTCCTATTAACAACAACCCTGTGAGATAGGTTGAGATGAGTCCAAACTCATCCAATAAGCTTCCATGGCTGACAAGTGGACCAGAATTTGGGTTATCCTGCTTCTAGTTCTACACCTACACAACCACTAGATACTATTTAAGGGGAAACAATTATCAGTGAAGGAGAAACTATTAGAAGGGCTACTACCACAAAGGATACAATTTCTAGTATTTAGGATTAGAAACAAGTGATAGAAACTGTAGGGGGCAGATTTCAGTTAAACAATACAATAAAATTCATGAAGGCGAGGGTCATTTGGCAATTGCTGGAACTTGCCAATTCCTGGAAACAAGTTGACTTGATATAAGGGAGATTTTAAAATTTTTCAATGTATTTTTTCTTATCAGGGATCTATTGGTAGATAGTATTGGAATTTATGAAATTGTATAAAAATATTGCATTGGGAGGATACCATTAATTAGTAATGAAGACTAGTATGACATTTGCGCTATTATGTTAAGAAGAAGATTAATAAATAATGATGGCTCTCATCACCACAGAGGGAAAAAAAACCACAGCAGCTTGTTCTTATCACAACTTGCCAGTCACATAGCTCAGGCAGCTGTCATCAACACAGTGTTCTCCAAGTGCAGCTCAAGATTTGGGAGGTGAAGGGAACACAGGTTACTACCATGCACGCACGCACGTGCACACACACACACAACAATCCATCATTCAGTTGTCAGAGACACCTGTTAGTATTTAGGACTGGCATAAACAATCTGTGGGCCATGTCCCTTTCTTTAGTGCTTTGTAAGCAACTAGTTAAAACTTCCAATAAGTTCAGAATTTCTTTTTCAAGAAAGAGGCTTTCGACCTTTGTCTTTGGTTTTATGCTACCCATCATTGCTCTTTTTGGAAATTGAAGTCTTCAGCAGAAAAGGGGGGGGATCCTAAATCCTAATTTTAATTGATACTGTTGAAAAACTGCTGTCCCAGAATTGTGGGAATCTTGCTTTTCTTAGGAAATAAAGAGGCAGCAAATAATTGAAAAGCAAACATGGTTTGGCAAACCTGTAGTCATTTCAGAGTGGACATTGAATATGTTATGGTTAGAGTCATGGAAAGCAATTCTGTAAGGAAGAACTTATCTTTAATAATCTCTTTGATTAGGGAAGGCCGTCTGTATATTAAAATTTTAAGTCTTTGGCTAAATGTTGATAACTGGATATCTAAATTCAATATTATTTGACCTGTTCCTTCCTACATACTGTTGCTACATAAGGGGAAATCTAATTCCTTCTTCCCTGCCATTAGAGTAGGCAGGACCTCTACATGAGCATTGAAGTTTCTTCTCTAAACATCTTTTTCTTAAGTGAGTAAGAAACAGTTCTAAGTCTGAGAATATCACTCCCAGATTCTACTCATTGTGGCAAATAAAGATCTTGCCGAGGGGCCACGTTTTGCACAATTGTACTGTGACCTGAGATAACCTATGTCAAAATCCCAAACTACCAAGCCTTAAAAAAGAGGGATGCCAGAACACCAGCTGCTGCGCAGCTTTGGCATATATGGCCAAGACAATGGAGTTGCTGTATTAAAATCCCCATAGAAACAACTGGGCCTTTTGTGTGGGTGGTGGTGGTGGTGGGCAAACAAGAAACACAGGCAGCCCCTGTTAATCCTGCATGTGAATGATTCCTGTAGACCAGAGAAACAGTAGCAGCAAGCCTGCCATTCCTGATGAAGAAAGTCATCCATAGTAGTTCATGGCACAAGGAGGTTGCAAAATTTCTGACTTTGTGAACTTTCACTCCAGAGGTCTGGGGGTAGTTAATTTTTTTGTGGGAGATCAGGACAAAAGTTCAATGGACCATCTTTTTAAAATCATGTTCTAGGCAATACAAGAGACCAGAAGCAACTGATGATCCATAGCAGAATTTTTCAAAGTTGGCAACTTTAAGATGTATGGACTTCACTTCCAGAGTCCCCTGCTAGCATGGGAAATTCTGTGGGTTCTCCATTGCCAACACCTATTAATGATGTCTAGGAAATTCTGGGAGTTGAAATGCACATATTTTAATGTCAAAATTTTCATGTTTGAAAATCACTGACCTTCAGTGGTTGTGTTAGGATTATATACCATAACTCTCATAATTTTTAGTCACTATTCCATTCCGTTCAGGGAAATTCTGGGAGCCATATAGTCCCAACCTATCTGGAGACTAGTTCATAGGCAGTTTGTCTGTAGCAGCACTAATACAAAATGAATGTCCCATTTGCCCATCTTGCTCCGTCATTAAATCTTTAGGTCCTTCACTTGTTCAAAAGAAGTCCTTTTTAATGCAATATTTGATGAGAAGGCCCTGACTTTTTTGTACTACTAGAATTTTGAAAGTATATTGTGTGCTTTTACAAAATGGCTGCCGTGGTTAGCATGATTTCTTGCAAAATACTGATTAGAAGGTAAACCGGCTTGCTGCCGCCTCTTACAGTTATTGTATTTACACCATCACTCCCAGCCCCAAATTGCAGCCATATAACCAGTGACATCTGCTGACGAGGCAGAATATCTACAACAGTATTATGGTGTTGTAACACAAATTCTGGTCTTTGTGTGTATGTGTTGTTGTTGCACACATGTACAAAAAGGATGAAGCTACTGGTATGCTACAATGTGTCTGGATTCATCATTCTGATGAAAGTAGCAAATTCCTTCAGACCCTCATGAATCCATTTTGTCTTTTTTCATTCATTTTGTTTTATTTATTTTATTTTATTTTATTGTTAATAGTATTATTTTCTTAGTTATATGGGATCCTGGTGCCATACAATTTTAGTGCCAAAGACTAAAAAATTAAATGTTAATGGTTATTATATCTAGGTTTTTCTTTTGTGATGTTTTAATTGTATTTCATTTTATTATAAGATGCCATGAGTTAGAATAATTTGGTGGCATCTATATTGATAATACACCATCATTATTTTATCTTTTTAAAAAAGTCATCAATACCCAAAAGGATTCTTGGGAATAAAGATGAAGCTAGCTGCTACTGTTCTGCTCCATGCCATTTATTTTTAATTCAAGAATCTTTTAAAAATTAGATTCTAGGAGCCAATAGTTCAGAGCACCAAGAAAGGTATCTGCAGCCACATTAGAATCACACTGGAATCCAAGGAGCCATTAAAAATTGAAATAATTATGAAAGCCTGCAGCTTGAATTTCCCCCACTCTCATGTAATCAAAAACAGTTTATAAATCTCTGCTCTGGGTGCACCAGGCCTTCACCAGAGTCCTTAGGACCAGCTGAATAATTACTGCAGTAGGTGTAATACAGAAAGCTACCGGTTTCTGACTGAGCAAGGCTATCGCTAGTGTACAAAATGGTCATCTTCCTTTCCTGTTCTGCCTTTGTTATACATTAGAAGAGGGTCAAAGTCCCTGTAGACAATCTTTCTAACTGCAAAAAATTATTTCATGCAATGTATATTAAATTTCTATCCTGACTTTTAGTTAAGAAACTCAAGATAGCATATATGGCTGTCCATTTCCTTCACAAATACAACTCTATGCGGTGGGTTGAGCTTACTCTATTTCTTTTCTTCTGAGCTGACAGTCAACAGCTCTTATTTTGCTCCATTGATTTGGCAGGGTCTTTAATAAAGTCTAGGGTACTTTGTGTTGTTCTCTCACATAAACACATGTTCTGCCATACTCAATCCCGCTTGCCCGAGGAATTCTTATAGGCCTACTCCCAAACCTTTTAAAACTTGTGTTTTGCTTTTTGATGTCCCTAAGCAACATAAGGAGACTTCAGTTGCCAACAATTTGAGGTAAGTTATCTCTCTACAGTTACAACACCCACCTCAAAGAAATGCAACCCAAATCAAAAGATGGAAAAGCAATGCATTCCCAATATTTGATTTACAATGTTAGAGACATTTTACTACCTGTCAGCTATTCTTTTTTTCTCCTTTCCAGGAGTAAAAAGCATTCCTTCAATCCTATCCCTCTGCATCATTACCACATGAAAGAAGATCACGAAACAGGAATGGAGACCAAGAAGAACTGGTTCTTGTCTATGATGCAGTCATGGTCGTGGCAGACTACCTAATCTCCTGAATTTGTAGAGGTAAAAAGGACTTGTAGGTGTCATACAAGACAAGTGAAGATCACAGTAGTTGTTATTGAAAACAAAGGCTCCAGTGGGCACAATTTTTGAGCTTTCTAGCTTTTATCCTTGGTAGAGATAATGAAAACCATCTCTTCCAAAAGAGCTACTTTCTTGTTGATTATCTCTGGTGGTGATGTCTCTTCCAGAAATTTACCAAGTAGTGATGTCTATGGAGATTCTCAGCCATTCAGGTCATGGTGGTATCAAAGATGCTTTTTCAAAAGGCAATTGGACTTTTTGTTTTTTCTTTGAAGATGTTTCACATCTCATCCAAGAAGCTTCTTCAGTTCTGACTGAATGGTGGAGAATGACTGCACTCCTCATGACACAACATCCTTGTGCCATGATAACTGCAAGGAATATAAATATAAATCCTTCCATTCTCCACCATTCAGTCAGAACTGAAAAAGCTTCTTGGATCAGATGTTAAACACCTTCAAAGAAAAACAAAGGAACTCCAGCTGCCTTCTGAAAAAGCACCTTTGGGACAAAATGACCTGCCAGTTACTCCAGAATGTCAAGTGCCCTGGAAGCTATTTAGTTGCCCCAAACTTTCAGCCCTCTCCCCCTCCCCCCATCCTAATTGATCCAATTTTTCATCTAAAATGATCGTCATTTCCTCTGACTCTTCTGTAATTCTTTTATTCCATGACTGCCCTCAAGCACAAGCACATATATACATGTGCACACATGCTGTGGGCATGGACTGACTGACACACCCCACAGCAACCAAAAGTGCCAGACACTTGGGGTGCCTGGACATCTACACATTTGAAACTAATTGTGAAATAATAACTCTTTAAGAAGATTTGAAGTATTTATCGCCCCCAGTGCTTCTTACAGGGAAGTGTTCCTTTCTTTGGAAGATGTCTACTACCTGAGCATTTTTTTGTGTTTTGTGCAACTGTGGGTCATCTAGATGCTTTTGCACTATGCTGAGCATTTGCAGTTTCAGGCAGATCCCTCCCAACTCAGCTTCCAGACAGGCCTTAGTTTGTTCTGACCTACATCCTGGTGAATGTGGCTCTCAATGCAGAGACCTTCCATTCCCAGTTACTATACAAAGTGATATGGACAGGAAGTACTATATTTCAGCCCCTCTGCAGTTGTGCCCGCCCTCACATCACCGAGCAGCTCTTGGCCCGGTCTTTGCGGATCTCAGAGTCAGTCAATAAATCTGTCCGTCCGGGCATCTGCGTAATCCGCTTCAGTCCTCGCTTTGAGTTGCTCCGTTTGAGGTGCTTATGCATCCGATTGATTGAGGCCAGTGTGGTCACATGGAAAACATCCCGCACACTATTCTCTGACACCTTGGAAGAGCATTCTACATATGCCACAGCACCCAACTGCCGGGCCAGCATGCTGCCCTGCAAGGGGAAAACACATTGTTGCATTATGCCATAATTCACCCACAGCCTTTTGCTTTCTTCCCCCCCACCCCCCATCCCCCAACCTAGTCTGGTAATTGCTTATTACATTGCAACCACCTCCCTTTTCCACCCCCACATTCTGGCAAATACCTATCACTTCCCCAGATACGGTTACTCCATGTGTTTCTTTTAAATCACGGCTTTTAATTAATTTTAGTACTTTTCCTGGAAGGAAGGGATACAGGAGTGTCTTTTAAAAATGGGGCGAGAGGGACTGTGTCTAAAAGAGGGAGGGTGTGAAACATGTTAGGATCTATGAATGCCAAGGTGGGAAAGAAGATTAAAAACAAGCTAGCGCAGCTTCCCCTTTTGGAAGGTTGCAACTGGGATATGGAGCAGAAGATCCTGCTGGTGGAATGAGCAGCAAAGGAGCCTCTAGCCCCAGAACTTCATATGGGGGCTCATATCATGGTGTTGTTGTTTCTCCTCTTTCCATTTTGCATAAGTTATTTCAGGGAGCTTTTGAATGCTCATCTGCATAGACAGGACAAGGCAGATTGCAGTATGGCTTTAAAAGGCATTAAGAGAAACTCAGGGAACATACCATCTCAGGCAAATACGAAATTCATTTAAAACTAAAGCTGCCTCAGCTGGGAGGGGTACTTTTTCTTATTAGTAGCTTTTAGCCTGTGCATCTGCTTGCGTCAGAGTGGATCAGTTCTTTAGGCTACTCTGCAGTTATTTGCTGCTGAAAAGCAACTGTGTGTATGTGCATAAAAGGGAAAGGGAAAAAATAATCAGAACATACATGCTCATGGTCATCTGTGGGGAGGCCCAAGGAGAGCATGATTTCATGCAAAAATCACAGCTAAGGTCAGGTAGATTGTTAGACATCATGTGCAAATATGGATAGTTCTCAAATGACAGCTAGTCCACAGACCCAAAAAAGATATTTGCAGCCTGGATTCAAAGTTCTGACAGCTGCCCCACCTCCCACCCCCCTTGCAGTCATGGGATCACATTTTAGGCGCTTAGTAACTGGCCCACATTTTATGGCTGTTTGCAGCATCCTGCAATCATGTGATCATGATTTACAATGTTATTTGCCAGAAACTTGTTTTTATTTCTGGTTTCTGGCAAGAAACACCCACTGAGGACAATAGGTTTATCTAATGACCACTGCATTCCCTTAAGAACCTTTGCAAAAAAAGGTAGTAAAATTGGGCATAGTCATATGATGACCTATTTAACACTGGGACAATTTATAAATATAAATGCAATTCGAGACTCCGTTTTAGTCATAAGACAAGGACTACCAGTAGATAGTTGCGGCATTTGCATAATTATATAATCACACACATATCATCTTGGCATTAGCATGGTTTGTCCAAATGCTGTTACACTGCACACAGGTATATAAATCATTAAGACAGAAAAGGACTCGTGCTTTTCCTCTACATATACCTATAACTCAGTGATGGCTAACCTTTTCCGGACTGAGTGCCCGGAACGCGCCCAAATCCTCAAAATGCAATGTGCACACTGGCATCGCGCACCCCCCACTGCTCCCCGTGCATGTGCAGCAGAGACCCGAAGACCAGGCATGAGCGCATGCGCGGTAGAGCTGAAATAATGTATTTAGAAGTTTTAAAAGGCCCTCAAGATAGAGAAGGGAAGGGAAAGGGAAAGGGAAATAAAATTAAAATGGAAGCACTGAAATACTAAAGCAGTAGAAATCCAAATCTAAATATGGAGTCAAATTAGAACTGTAAAATATAAAATATGGATGAAAACCCAGCATCAATTAAAATCCATGCTTTAAGGCAAGATTAGGCTGCCCAAATTACAGGTAATCCTTGATTTAAGACCGCAATTGAGCCCAACATTTCTGTTGTTAAGTGAGACATTTGTTAAGTGAATTTTGCCCCATGTTACATTTCTTACCACAGCTGTTAAGTGAATCACTGAAGCTGATAAGTTAATAACTCCATTGTTAAGTGAATCTGGCTTCCTCATTGACTTTGCTTGTCAGAAGGTCGCAAAAGGTGATCACATGACCCTGGGACACTGCAAATATCACAAATGTGAACCAGGTGCCAAGCATCTGAATTTTGATCACATGACCATGGGGATGCTGCTAAGGCTGCAACTGTTAAAAATGGTCGTAAGTCACTTTATTCAGTGCCATTGCAACTTTGAACAGACACTAAACAAACTATTGTAAGTCAAGGACTACCTGTATTATTACTATTTAGCTAAGGGAGAAATGAATACATGGCAATTCTTTCATGAAAAGTTGTTCCAAGTTGTTCCATCACAAAAATGATATGATCTCTTGAGTAAGCCTAATTAATCTTATCAGCAAACTTATGTGGCTACTATCAGAATTGGCCCAGATTAAGTCCAAAACTTCCTACCATATGTGTGCACAGGGATGTGTGTCAGTTCTCTACAGCCTCACTCCCTTAAACACATGCCAACAAATTGAGGCTTAACCAAGGCTAACCCATACTTTAATTAAAGGCAAAATAAACACCTGCTCATGTGTAACAGGGATAAGGCGCTGTTTGGAGAGTTCCCGTAAAGTGTTCAAGTCTGTACGCATGTCCAGTTTGCAGCCCACCAAAACTATTTTGGCACCAGGGCAGAATTCTTGTGTCTCTCCCTGCCACTATAAGAGAGAAAAATATAAAGAATTAAATTAAAAATGAATTAATATAATTAGGCAAGGCCATTAGCTCAGTTATCCCACCTCATATCACACCTTGTTTTAATCCCACACCCATGTTTCCAACACAAAGAAACTTGACCTTTTTACAAGCAGCAGCACAATGCAACTAGTAATTTCTGTGATGTGAGATTCTGTATACACATAGTCCTCAACATATGACCACAACTGAGACCAGAATTTCCATTGCTGAACAAGGCTGTTGTTAAATGAGTCACATCTAATGTTATTACCTTTTTTGCCATTGTTCTTAAGCAAATCATTGCTATTAAGTGAAGGGTGCAGTCAAGAAGATCTGGATTCCCCCATTGACTTGGCTTGTCAGAAAGTGGTTGGGAAGTTCACAAATGGCAATCACGTAGCCCTGGGACACTGTAACCATTGTAAATACATGCTGATGACAAGTGCCAAGGGGATGCTGTGTCAGTTGTGTCAGGACCAGTTGTAAGTCGCTTCTTTCAGCGCTGTTGTAACTTTGATAAGAGTCACTAAATGAGTGGCTATAAGGACTACCTATATCTGATGTAGAGAACCACCATTCTGGTCACGAGAAACATAAAAATTGTCAACATGTGCAAAAACTGAGGATACTTTCCTAAATTAGAGTACAAGGTTTGAGGTAGAGACATGCTGTTTCACTTGCTTTTTTAAAAATATAACGGCCATAACTCATTTTATTGTGCTTTGGTTTATTGAGCTTCAAGACTATCTATCTATCTATCATCTGTCTATCTATCTATCTATCTATCTATCTATCTATCTATCTATCTATCTATCACAAATAAAGAATTAATGGCAATCCTCACTAAGTGGATTTATCAGTGCTATTTTTCCAATAGCATTTATTCCTATTCAAATTTCTGTGGACACATTTTGATAATTTTTCAACATTTCAATTTTTCATAATTAGTCAGATGTTTAGCATTTCTAGCAATAGACTATTTTTAAACTATAGTGATACAATTGCGATTTTGAAGGAGAGCTCCTCTTTGTCTGCAGGCAATAGACAAACCTATTTTCCAAAAATAAAAGAAGCTCTTCTTACCTTTACCATCACATCTTCATGTTCCCTTTTGGTAGCATTTTTAGCAATCTCACCTTTTTAAGGACACTGTCCAGAGTTTCAGGACGGCTAATGTCAAAACAGATAAGAACAGCATCTGAATCTGGATAGGCAAGGGGGCGGACATTGTCATAGTATGTTGAGCCTGTATGAGAAAGACACATTTTTAAGTTAATTATATAGCTAAACATGATGTTAGTATATTGTACAGCAGATAGGGTGGGGGTTTCTTTCAGCCTGAGCCTCACATTTTCTTAAAAGTTCCATGAATCATCATGCCAGAAAAGACAAGATTAGAAATATCACACCTTCTCTCTCACCATCCCTGTTCACATTCATTCATATTCTGATCTCCCTTGTCTGCCTTCTTCCCCATCCCCATCTCTTCCTTTGTTATCAATTTTCTCTACATTTCATTTTATTCTGTCTTCAGCTCCAGTTGTTTCTCTCTCCTTCTAGGTTGCTCCCTCAGTCAAAATTTGAAATAAACACATACAAAACACTGTTGTGGCCATTATGTAATCCTAGGTATCAAAATATGGATTTGAAGTTGAGAGTACCATATTCAGGAATATGAATGTTTGGCAACCTCAGCATCAGTGTGTGTGTGTGTGTGTGTGTGTGTGTGTGTGTGTGTGTGTATGTCTTCAAGTCAGTTTTTGACTCTTGATGACTGTCTAGACAGGTTCCAGAAGTTTTCTTGGCAAGATTTCATAAGTGGTTTGCCACTGTTTCCTTCCTAGGGCTGAGATAGAGTGACTGGCTCAAGGTCACCCAGCTGCCTTTGCAGAACTAAAACTCAGTGTTTTTCAGTTTCTGGTCTGGTGTCTTCATCACTGTACCAAACTCCAGCATAATTTAGTACCATTAGCTAAAATATTAGCAGTCTAGTTGGTAGTAGAAATGCCAAAACACTCAAGAAAAAGGCAACAAAATCCAGATTTTTACATACCCTCTTGAATGAAAGGTAGCCCTTTTCACTTCCTGCCTAGGTTCCTAAAAAGGTTATGAAGGAAGAAAAGGAAAGTAGACAAATAGGCTTTTTTTTTTTCTTGAAAACTGCCCAGTTTATGACTTGGAATGAAGCTGGGAAACCTCTGAAATTCTTATATTTGCTGGGCTGTTTTGTACTTCTTCCTAGCTTCTCATTTCCCTTTCTACAATCAACATGCTAGGGGCTTAGATAAGAGCAATTTTGTTTCTGTAAAATGAGAACAGTCAGTTTGATGGGGTTGTGAGGGTATTGATAAAACGTTATTAAATGCTCTGCAAATTTCAAGTGTCATGTAAGTAATTTATAGTGTCCATAGACTGGATGACAGTGAAAAAGCAGCCTGTCTGTTCATCAGTCAGTCTCCCTTCAGCATTACTGTTCAGAAGAAATACGAACACATACAGCAGGGGTCATAAATTAACTGACTGCAATTATGTATTCCACTGAAATGCAACCCAACAACAATAGAAACTGCACACTCTTCTCAGATGCAACCTAGACCATTAAGTGGAAGCCTGAGAAAGAGCCTCCTCACTATCTAAAGAAATACAGCCAGCTGAATTTTCCTGAAGCAATCAGGGGAAGGTGGAGCAAAAAAATGACCCTCCCCAATCTAATTAAAAGATCTAGTAAATTCACTATGTGTAATTCCACCATCCACTTGTGAGGGATACAATTAGGAAGACTGGGGAAAAGTAGGGAACAAATGACTTTAGAGAAAAAAAGAGAGGGAATCACAACTATTTGCAGGCCCTATGTCTGTATTACACTCAGATGTAATCATTGCCACGCCCCAAGATCAATATTTAGAGACAGCCATTACGTTTTACTCAAATGGGTCTTGACTAGTCGCAGATGAGGTCAGTCAGTGATGGCAGATGTCTAACAGCATTAGCATGGCAGCTAATGGCAGGTGGAACCAGATGTCATTAACAGATGGAGCCAAATATTTGGCAAAACTGGGAATCATAACAGATGGAACAGCTTCAAAACTGAGAGTTGGGGTGATACTCTTGACCTATGCAATCCGGATGCACTTGCTTTGTGGCTGAATTGCAATCCCCATTGTATAGAGATCATAAAAAGTGACCAAGCTAAAGATAAAAGCAATATTTTCACCCTACTTGTACTTTCTCCAATAGCAATTGCACCAAAAAGCAAAATTAAAGGAATCAATAGTTTCAATTGAAGAAATAATTCCAAAAATAATTCCAAAGAATTATACTTATAAAAATAATAATATAAGACAAGGATTGAGCTCATCCCAAGTCAGAATTGTTCAGTTAAAGATGATATTTTAAAATTAAAGCTGAAGAAGCTTCTTGGATGAGAAGTGAAACGTCCTCAAGGGGGAAAAAAAGCTAAGTTGCCTTTTTGGGAGTGGGGAGGAAGCACTTTTGGAACAACCATGACCTGGGTGACTGAGAACTTCCATAAACGTCTTAAAATTAAATAATTTTAATAGTAGACATTGCTAAGATTATAATATTTTTCATGCTAAGACTTCCTGATCCTATGTAAAGATTATATTTTTGCATAATCTTTTGCTACATTTTATTCTTTCATAGTGACAATGGCAATGACAATTTGTACCTTTCTCAAACAACTGTTTTTGCTATATAACATCTATAAGATAAAAGATGCTGCTGCATAAAATAGATTACAAGAAACAAATTTTAAGGCGTTTCTTTTCACAATGCAACCACAAGAAATGAGAACACAAAAATTACATCAAATAGTCCATAGCAACGCTTCAGAAGACAAGGGTGTTAAAATGGAATTTCATACAAAATATAAATTTGGCAAGAGTGAAGAGTTAAAATTAGATAGAATGATTTAATATTGGTTTTTGCTCCACACAGCCTCCTTCATCGAATCAAAAATAAAACCAGTATTGGTCCTCCCTCCTACCAGATATAATTTTTACCAACTGTGAAACAGAAAAGCTATAAGCCATCAGAACACCCACAGAAAGAAAGCTTAGAAGTTATTCTATCTTGAAATGGATTCTTAGATTTTCTGAGAATGAATTGCAATGCTTCTACAGACCCCAAGAATTCTGAATATCTGCATAATTTCTATTCAGCCTTTCTGCATTAAGGCACTTATGCCTTCTGTTTTGATCAAATTCCCAGCCAAAATCTTATGTTTTTAATGAAGTTATATCAAGAATGAACCAGCCAATATGTCCTCCAGAAATAAAATGATAATAGTCTTCAAATCTGAATTATTAATTTCTAATTACTTCAATATTAAAGAGTCACAAATCTGCATGAGCTGTCCTGAAAATAAAAACATCAGGTATTTATAAACTTTGCTCTCCAACATAAATGTTTTGATCAAGGCTGCATAACACCTCTTCATCAACAGAACATTGTTCCCCTCAAAAAAAACAAACATTTCTTTGGCTAAGCTACAACTGCATATAAGAAAAATAATTTTTCACCTAAAAAAAAAAAAAAAAAAGACCGATGCTTGGTTTTTGAAAACTTTGGACCAGATGTGTTCCTCTTTCACATGCTGGAGTAATTATAATTAAAAAAGGAATAGGACTGTGCATCTCCCATTAAATTTTAGACCTCCAAGGTCCCTTCCAACTCTGTTACTGTTACCTGTTACCTGCCAATATAGCCATTAATACCTGCCACACTCTTATTTACTAATTTATTTTTCAAGGTAGTTTTCCTTTAAAACATGGTAGGAAGCTAGCCAACTGGAAAAAAAATCCAAGCTTTAGATATAAACTTTACTTGCAACAATGCCTTTGGACCTTGTATAAATTGTGAGAAATAAAATAGTGGTGATTACTGCTTTTTTTGCCTTTTGATATAGGACTGGCCACACCCATCATGGCACCCATATCAACATGTCCTTAAATTACTAAATAGGCTTACTGGTCTGTTGGACATGTATCCATACCAGAGGTTCTGTGGGGGACCAGGGTGTTGCATAAAAAGGTAAAGACAGAGGGTCAATCAAATCCCCCCTTTTTATATGGATGTAAAAAGCAACCATATAAAAAAGTCAGAACCTCAATTATGTGGGCACAATTTTCATCTTGACTTCTTTTATGCTCCCCTGCAATTGTCCTTGCATACACACTAAATATAGATGTACTTTTGCAGGGTATAGCTTATTCTTTTAAGATGTCAAGTTCAGAAGAATCTCAGTTCAATATCTTACAGAAATTGCACTCACTAAAAAAAAGGATCTCTCGTTTCCCAAACAGGCTGCAATACACATAATGCTAAACAAAACTGGTAATAAGTTCTGATACATGAAAGCCCAGTAACCAGTCTTATTACAATGTTTGAATTAAGCACATATTTGGTACCAATTTAATCTGTTAATTTAAATGAATGCTATCCTCCAAGACCACTTAGCTTTCCTGTCCCTCTTTTCACCAGCCACTATCCATAACCTTCTCCATAGCCTAAAGGACAGAAATTTAATTTCTCAAGCAGCACATTTCCAGGATGCTAAATTAGCTATTTCGCTAAGTCTAGTTTTAGAACCAAAGGATTAACATAGTGTTAATAGGCAGTTTCTGGGAAAACTGCCTGTTAGCATGATGGTTAAAAAGAGAGAAATTTGTAAGGCAGTGACTAAACAACTACATAAAGGAAACTTCAACTAGCAACGAAACATCTAAGAGGAGGAAAAGGCAAAGGAGGAGAAAAGTTTACTTCTCTTACTATATCAACAAGTATTTTATCACTAGGTATTTTGTCAGGCAGGTGAGAGAGAAAGGTATATGTTTAAAAGTCTTCCTTCCTTTCTTCTTTTCCTTCCTTCCTCCCTCCCTCCCTCCCTCCCTTCCTCCCAGCTCTTTTTTAAGGGTACTAACACCCCACTCCAAAATCTCTACCTTAAAAAAGTGAAGTCTCCAAGTCAAGGTGGGATCCAGGCATTTTTTGGCCTGCCACAGCCAAACTTAGACTTCCCGGGACACTCAATTGACAGGAATCAACAAGAAAGTTTTACCCTATACAGATATGTTGTTATAGAAAAATCCACCTGTCAGTTTCTACTAGTAAAGCAGCTGTGCAGAGGATGTAGCCCAGCTTGGTTCAGAGCTGACAACTTTAGCAGACTTCCTCCCTCCCCATGAACAAAAGCAACAGAGGAATCACCTAGGCCTTAAACTTTAT